AGTTAATGTTGGGCTCATAGACCAGCATTTTTCATTTAAAACCTGAGCGACAATCTTTCTGTGCAGTATTATTTAGTTAGTATGCTGACAGCGGTGTTATAAATCTTTAATAAAAATATTAAATGAGAGCAATAAATATTGGGTAATTGAATAATCTGCTTTATTTGTTTGATTTAGTTTAGCTTTAGGGGAGGCTGTGTTCGTGCTTCTCATTTCTAAAAGGAAGCAAAAGTGGAGTGGGAACTGCGAGGAAGTGATGTCACTGGCAGACGAGCTGGATGCCTGACTCCCTCTCTTCTCAGAAGGATGAGGTCATGCATCTCTTCCTCCTCTCATCCCTGTTTTTCTCTCTGCATCACAGGCTTTTCTTCTGGGACCATCAAGCGTTTGTAGTGCCTAAGAAAACGTAGAGGTCTGATGAAGCATGCCAGTATTATAACCCACGTGAGGCTTGCGTAGGCTTTTGCTTAATGACACAAGATTGCTAACACTTGTAAGCAGATGCTGGTGTGAGAGTTTCTGAATAGTTTGTGAGTGATTAATCTGGTATTTCATCCCCTGATGTCATCACGGAGATCTCACTGAAGCAGGGACTTCCAATGCAGGCTTTCAGGCCATCTATTGTTCTTGTTCCTCACTTCTCTCTGGCCTGGCTGTCCACGTTGCTCGCCCTGCCCTCGTTCTCACTGTCTCCTTATCGCGTCATCTAGCTGTGGGCTGCTTGTAACCATGGAAACTCTGTTCTCCTTCTGTTGATATTTGTACACCTCCCCATTTTTTCTCTCTCCCCCATTCTCTTTTCATCACAGTCATGAGGATTATAGATGGTTAAAGACTCTTTTTGTTTTGTTTCTTTTAAAAAAATAAAAAAATAAAAATTGGCACATCCAATGTGAAGTGGCGGTCGTCAGCGCTGCATCCCCTATGCCGATGACTGATTTGAGCAGTGTGGCTCTCTGTTGACCACTTCTGATCGTGTGTGTGTGTGTGTGTGTGTCATCCCTCCCTTTGTTCATTTGTTTGGCTGTGTAGCTGTTTGTTCTTAGTTATTTGTCATTCTTTATTTTTTTTTTCGAGATATCCTGCTCTAATATTGATCATGATCATTTAATACAATAAATTAATATTTTAAATATTGTGTGTTTGTAAAACCTTAAAGAATAATCTGAAACTGAAGTGTTTGTTAACAGCTGAATGGATTTCACTAGTCTTGCTGACAAAAGTCTGCATTTCCATTATTTTGGTCTTAAGATCAACTAATGTAGCTGCACCCTTTTGGAAAGTGTGATGCTTTGTTATAAATCCAGGAGTCTTAATTCCTTTAGAGCCACTCACTCCACTCTACAAAGGTCTGAATGAGAACACCATTGCTAAGGACAAAATGGTTATTTTTATTTATTTTTATAATCTTTTCATAATTGCCAGAGATTTGTGTGGAACGTCAAATGCACAGTCCTGCTCCACCATATGGTTTATATATATATATAAGTGATCTTCTGCACCTTCTTGTGGTGCAATAGAGATCATGGATACATCAATCACCATATCAAAGGCATCCTCTGTGCCTCAGCTCCTTCTCCTCCTCACCTGCTTATACACTCAAGACTTTGTGCTTCCCCCCTCCCTTTGGTTGTCTTCTAGGCTTTGAACAGGCTGTCAGAAGAGTAGATAACCTCCTGCTAACCTTGAGCCTTAATAAGGTCTGGGCCTGTTGTCACAAGGATTCTGGTGGGCAGAGAGAAGCGGGTTTCTGTGCTCAACCCTGACCGAGAGGGTGCAGGGGGCACAGGCTGGGCTGACAGATTGTACCCCCCACACCCCCGTCACATTGGCACCTCAAAGCAGTGCCTGCCTGACAGCTTGTCTGGCATCTCCTGGCATAAATGGTGTGCAAAAGAGCAGGAGGACCCAGAAAATATTGTATATCAGTTTAAAGAAATTTGCATTTCTTTTTAAGGCGGTTCAGTTTTATATCAGTTTTTGTTTGGTTTGGTAGGTAGGTGATTGTGATGGCTGCATGCAACCAAACAACTGAGATACTTAGGTAATATTAATTTGGTCTTTTGTCTTATGTTTACATTATGCTCTAAAGCTTTTGTGATCATAAGTTAACCAATTTGATATTTTTTACCTGTAATGCATGACAGCACTAAGCTATAGCCCAAATGGTGGCATAGACTTTGCTTTGCATTGTTTGTTATTTTATATAGGTATATGTTATATTGATTATATTTCTGCTCTTTCTGAGTTACCTGACCTCCGCTCCAGTCCTTCCTGGTTTGGCTGAAAGAGGAGGCTGAGGGTGGAGCTGGTTTAAATGCAGAAGCCAATAAAGTGGACTGGACCATCTATTTTGATCATGCAGGGGGAATGGGGTTCTTCTTGAATGATGGTTAGCTGTTATCTCTTTAGTTTTCACCTTTGGTGTATATAATGGTTTATTCATTTGCCAAATAACTGGAGCTGTTTCTCATTTGGGCAGGTCAGTTTGTTGAGTTATGTTTTTGTTAAGTGACTTTTGAGTAGCGTTCTGTTAAGTTAACCTCTTTTATGGGCCCAATTGGTTCTTAAAAAGTTTATTTTTGTTATTTTGAATTTTTGTAATCATCTTGTCCTTTTTGGGGTATAATAAAACCCATTTTTGAAGATTACATTTGTGCCTGTGTGTTCCTGGCTGCTTGGATCATGACAGTGATATAAGACTGAAGGTGGAGCTGGAAAAGGTTTAAGAAAACACAAATCCAAATTCACCCTGAAGAAAAGTCCCCCCCCCCCCTCCCCCGATATTAGAAAGCACATTTAGTAATTTCAGTGTTTGAAAGGTGCTAAATAAATAAACTTGCCCTGCCACTTGCCTGATCATGAGCTCTGCGCTTTTTTTTGTTGCGCATTGAGTTTAGGTGGGCAATTCACAGTTAATATAAATATAACATATGCTATTAATGAAAAAATACTTGAAAAAATTGTAGCAACAGAAGCTGATCAGTTCTTCTAATTTATGCTTGCAAAGGCAAACTTTAAATGGACAGGCTTATTGAACACAGTATAATGGAAATTTGTGTCTTTAGAATTTGAGGTCTAGCTGTGATGGTTTCTAGATGCATTCATAGATGTGGTGGGACACATTGCTGTTCTATCCTGAGATAGAATCGGGGGTTTCTGGTCTCCCCTTGCTAAGGTGACCCAGCCAGGATTAATCAGGCCCCGACTTGTTTCCCAGCAGCATTGACCCACCATTGGACCTTTTGATTCAAATTCACCTGGGGGCCCTTTGTACAGATTTGATGGCCTTAACCTTTGCAGCACCTCTGATGCCCAAAAAGGTCTAGGTCTTACAAAGGGAGCAGGCAGCTAAACATCAGCATCCCACTTCTATGGGCTCACAGTACATTCTCCAGCCGCTCCTCCGGCACTGATTTGTCAGTTCGCAGTACTTCAGCCATATGCAATCGTTTGCTTTTTCCATGCAATACTCTTGGGAAGCTGTGAGGTTAAATAGAAAGACCTGCTTGGAAGAAACTTGTGTGTAAAACACCTGGCCTCAAGAAGGTTTGTGTCACATGGTCTGGGAACTTCAGCTGCTTGCTCAAAAATGTCCACAGTTCCCAGTCTAATGCTGAAGAGAGCAGGCTTGCTGATGGTTTAGAGTTTGGCTGAGGCTTCTTCACCTCCACCAGGTGAAGTACATTCATGTAGTCATGCACTCATCAACCAAGTACAAGTGCACACACAAACCAAACATGAGTATGTGGGAAACTTCGGTGAATGGGTCAGACAAGCGGTGACTCTATTTCTTCAGTAGTGAATCAAATGTCTGTACAGCACCTCAATAGTAAAACACAATGAAACACCTGCATGGCAGTGTCCACATTGTAAGTGGAGCTGTACTGGATAATAAATGAAGGTCTGATTAAAACATTATCATATTGCTTTGTCGCAGTTAAACTGGTAGTTGCCACAAGAACATTAAATTATGCTCAGGCTCAAATTATAATTGAAATTGCAAAATCACCAAGTGGAAGAATTTAAATATATAATCCACTTTTGTTGTGCACCCTCCTGAGAGTCTAATTAGGTGGAAAATATAAAGCCCGAACTGTTTGATACTGACTTGAACCTCATTAATAACTCTTGGTAAATTGAACTGCTGCTGAGGCTGCAGTCATGAACCAGACGTGCGTGCGTGTGTGCATGTGTACGTTTGCCGGGTGCCTCACAGGGGTCTTTGGGTTTCCCTAGAAGACAAAAACAGGAAGAATGAAGGTAGCTTCCTCTGTCCCTGCTCTGCCTCACTACTCTATTGTCTTTCCTATCTAGCCATCTCTCTTCACATATTTGAAATAGTAGGACTGTTGTGTACTGCTGTCACCATCCTCACACCACCTTTTGTGCCGTCTTGCTCAAAAGATCTGGTGTCTTTGAACATCTGCAGATTTGGTTCTTAAACTCAGGAGATCGACTGTTTTTAAAATAACAACAGCCAGAAGCTCGTAGAGGTCACAGGGGTTATTCCCTCCCACCTCCATGATTTCTGTTTTCCTTCTCTGTACAAGTAGGTGATGGTGGGATGTACACTGGCTTTCATTTTACCTATATGTACACCACGGGGGAGTCGCCCATTCCCATTATTTGCCCACAGCAACAAGAGCTCATTATAGAAGCCAGACAGATATGTTCTCAATTTTTGTCAGATGGGTGGAGAGGGGTGGGTGTGCCTGTGTGACTGTAAGAGCGAGTGAGGAGAGTGTGTATTTTTCTATTGGTAGTGTTAAGTAAGCATTTTTAATATTATATAGTATGATAACAGTCTGGGAGTGTGAAAAGCATATAAAGTGTCTTTGTCTGGCACGTTTCCTGAACCTGATGATTTTTCTGTCTTTGTTTCACCCTGTTGAATGCAGCTTCATTACTTGTGTCGTCATTTCTGGTGGCAGCTTAACTACTATCTTGTCTGCTAATCAGGAACGACTAATTATGGTTCCTCTTTGTCTGTTTTGCAGAAATCGAGCCATAGCCGATTATCTACGTTCCAATGGATATGAAGAAGCATACTCCACCTTCAAGAAGGAGGCGGAATTGGATAATGTGAGTAGATTAAGGACGGACACATACATCCACACAGCCAATCAGACCAATTTAAACAAACAGTAGGTGTTGATTTCCACTTTATTTCCCATCATGAACATGTTTTATTTTGTCAGTATGTTCAGGAGTGTGACCTGGAGCACCTGCTCCTGGTCAGGATGCTCTGTCTGATTGGTGTGGCTTGTGCTGCAAGCCTTTTTTAATTAAATTAATATATATATTAACATATATACTTAAAAAAAACATTAATACCTCTCCTTTCTGATGAAATATGAATGTATTAATTCCTTCTGTCACCCTTTTATTAGGCACACCTATCACAAATGTTGGGCCCTGAAGTCTTATTTTTATGCTGCTTATATTGAGTGTTTTGGACACACTCATGGAATGTGGAGAGTTAGTGGTGCCGCACTTACACTTACATTTTTTTCTTTTGTGTCAGCCCCTAAAAACAACATCTGGGTCATGTTCTTTTCCTCGATGTACCTTTCCTCTTCTTGCTTAGTGTGAATTTTCTGGTGTAGCTATAGCATTAGGAGCAATGCATAAAACAAACCAGACATAAAGTTCAGTTTATGTTGACATTGTTTTAGACAGGTGTGAATTGTAATGTTGTTTTATTTATTTATAATGTATGCATTGGAACAAAAAATACCAAACATCTAATGTAATTAAGAAATGTGAATCCAGCACTCAATTCCAGCACTCACAGTGGGAGAGGTGGGACTTCACTGCTTGGCGGGATTTAGGGGTACGTGTTGAAAAGGTCAAGCATCTTCAGTCTGGGGTGTTTAGTAACTTAAAATTAGCAACATGAACCACAAAAAAAGTATGACTTTGTGAGTAATTGTCATTTTATTGTAGGTTAAATCAATAAACACCAGTCAGTCACCTGTGTTAGTTGTCACTTAAAACTCAATCACTGCATTTTTTTTCCACATGATACGGAGTGTAGTAAGGAGCCTAAAGTAAAATATGTGCCCTTTAGGGCTTATTGTGTAGTGTTTGTCATGTTATTGCTTATTTGTTTAAAGCTCTCTTCACCTGAGAGCGTTTCTTATCTCACTCTTGCTCTTCTGCCTTGTGGCACCTTTTCTTTTCCATTGCCTTCACATGACACCACACTCCCCTCTCTTCTGTGTCTTCATCTGTTATTCTCCCACTTGATCTCCACGTGACAGGTCTTTGGAAGCAGGGTGAATAATGGATGAATGGCACAGAGGGATTGGTGCAGCCTTTTGGGTATCGGCCACACGCACCTTGACGGGACTCGGCTAAACAGATGAAGCATTTTTTTTAAAAAAAACAAAAAAAACAAAACATTTTATTGTTATTTTTAGGACTGTTAAGTATGTTACCTTTTTTTTTTAATGCCTTTTAAGTGTGGTTGGGTTTTGTTCTTACTGGTGAATTAAGTGTTCCTCGGTGTGGCTCTTTGTGGACGTTTGAGAAGCAGTTTAAAGTTAATGTCATGACAGACTGAGTGCACTGGTAGGAATAATTAATGTAGGTCATGCTCCAGTATTTTCTTGCCTATTTGAAGGAAAGTATACATACCTGCATGCACAGATAAACATGCGCACGCCTTTTTATTAGCCACTGCCAATTGGCTGGTAGGCAGAAGTGAAGTGTGTGTGTGTGTGTGTGTGTGTGTGTGTGTGTGTGTGTGTGTGTGTGTGTGTGTGTGTTTTGACCAGGCAGATGGCAGATTAGATGACTGCAGACTTGTCCAAACTGGGTTCCTCCACTCAGTCCATCTGAGATAGATCTGCTCGATTTCTTCACAGGGCTCCGTACATGTCTTTGTCTCTCTTTCTTGTTAACACCTCCTGTAGCCCTGAGGAATCACCTCTTCCCACTGAAACGTGTTAAATATAGGCTTCGACATCACCTGCAGCTCTCCACACCTCCAGGATGTTTGGAAACAGACACGGCTGAGTAGGGGGCTGTGAAATTGGAGTGCACTGCTAATTTTCTCCCTCACTGACACCCGTGGCTGTCTGTCAGTGTGGGTTTTTGATGCTTTGGTACTTGCGCCCTAAAGGCATGGATGTGCATAGAGTCCTCCAAAACTGTTGCATTGTTTATAGAGCGAGGCAACACAAAGCAACACTTCAGATTTACTTTAGTATATACTTAAATACACTTTCAATAATATTTCAGAAAAAAAGATAAAATGCTCTCCTTGGTTATTATTATGGTTATGCATTTTGGTTAGTTTTTCCCCCTTTAGTTTCTAGAGTAAGTTTGCCTGTTTCAGTTTAGTTTTGTGTGTTTTTTGTTAGTTTGGGGGTTTTCTTATTTTTAGAATGCGGGTGGTGTTTTGTTTAGTTTTTTTCTCCACGGATATGATACTTTTTTCTGACTTCTTACATTAATAATACAAACACAACACTTCATGTCTCACAGACATCCCAGTCTCTCTAAACGTGCACTAAAGCATGCTGTTTGCTCGTTGGCTTGACTAAACTGACAAAGACTAAACCTAAGGACTTTTCCTGTTTGTTTTTGTTTCACTGTTATTTTCATTCTTTTTAAGAGTTAAATTTTTAGTTGTATTGCAGTAACTTGAAGCTTTGTCCACACTTATTTTTAGTTCTAAGTTTATCCTTAGTTTATAGTTTATGTCAAATATTACTCGATTGGAGTTTTTATCTCAAAGATTTGTTGATTTTCTTTGACTAGTCATTGAAGGTCATGAGAGTGAGTGATTTATTTATTTTTTATTGTTATTATTTTTTAAAGGCATTTAATGACACTATGCATCGTTACTTTGATAAACAGTATGTATTTACACAGAGCTAACTTTGACACTATGTGTATAAGAGAATACACTCAATGGGGTGTGTCATGTTTTATTGTTTGATGTTTTCAAACAAAATTATTACAGAAAATAGTATTTTTTAACATTTTCTTGATGTAATTTGTTGAAATGTAAAACCTAATTCATAAGGCTATTAGGTAAGCTGTGATAAGTTTGTTTATTGCTGTATGTAATCTTATAAAATGGTAAGGCTTGCGGGTTAATTGGTAGCAGTCTATAAAACGCTGGTAATTAGCATCAAAGAGTGCTGCTGGAACCACGTGCCACCACTGGGCCAACATCATTTATTTTGTTGTGTGTGGTGAATAAATCCCTGGTTGGTCTGCACCTCATCTCTGCCGCAAGCCTCCTATTTCAGTCATACCACTGCTGGCCTTTCTAATAAGGAATCAAATGATTTTTAAAGACATGCTCTGTGAGACTGTCAATCTCTATATATATGGTATTTAACTTTTGGTGCATATGTAGCGACACAGAAAGCACGACACTGCAGTGTTTTGTTTCCTCCGTTGCCTGTTTGTGCCATGAAGCCAGTTACGTAAAAGGTAGAGTCCAACTCGAGGAATAAGCCTGCAGGTGAAATCAGGCTTCAGTCTGCCACAAGTTAACTTCTACCACTGCTTCCAGGACCGGGTGTGTGGCTGTGAGGCTGTAAGCCTTTCTTGTCTGCAGGAGATTAGCTTGTGTGAGGAGGATTAGGATTTGGGGTGTGTGTGCGCGTGTGTGTTTGTCATACAGTAGGTTGGCAGTGTCCTGCAGTTGGTGTTGGCCTGTGAAGGGTGTGTAAATAATCCCCCCCCACACACACACACACACACACCTTTTTGGGGGTTTTTTTTGTTGTTGTTTGTTTTGTTTTGTGTTTTTTTTCTAACTATAGCCAGATCTCACTATGCCCCTATCCACCCTTGACACCCACACACACAACATGCTCCTCACCGATTATGCTAAGCCCACGACTTTGACTTTCTTTGCCAGTTTTTCTGATACCCCCCCTCACACTTTTCTCCCCAGAATGAAGAACTGGATAAGAAGTACGCCGGCCTTTTGGAAAAAAAATGGACCTCAGTCATCAGATTACAAAAGAAGGTTTGAGCTTTTTTTTCCCTCCTCAAAGAAAGCTTGTGGGGATTGTAGTCTTGTGAAAGGTTCGTGATATTGGTGCTGAAGCAGTTGTTAACACTGAAATGAAGTCTGTCAAAGAAAGCAATGACACCACTGTTGATGTAAAATACTAACTTAAACACAAACAATAGTCTCGTGAATCCATGTTCCTTCTCCCGTATCTCCTAAATGCACATTTCAATATGCTTCACCAGCTTTTGTCCCTGTGCTCTCTGGCTAGGTGATGGAGCTTGAATCCAAACTAAACGAAGCTAAAGATGAGCTCACTCTTGGTGGGCCCGTTACTCAGAAGCGTGACCCCAAAGAGTGGATCCCACGCCCACCAGAAAAGTATGCGCTGAGTGGCCACCGCAGTCCGGTCACCCGTGTAATTTTCCACCCTGTCTTCAGCGTCATGGTGTCAGCCTCTGAGGACGCAACAATAAAGGTCAGTCCTGCTGGTTTCAAGTCGAAGAGCCAAGAGTTTCCAAATAAAATCTGCACTAGGTGATTTCACTGACAAATTTGTCTCGGGGCTCAGGTTGCACATAACAGTCCAAATAACTTTTGAAGCTTTAAATGGAGCCCTGCAGGACTGTGCTCTCCCTTTGCACATGATCCGATAGCCCTGATCTACTGATGTTTGTTGTTCTGCTCAGCATAGCTGCTGATGGTGGCCCCAGTGAGTCTTATGATGAGTTCAGAACATTTCAGCTTTCCAGGGATAAAAACACTGACAGTTTTGTTTTCAGTATAAGACAGTATAAGACTTCAGTATTTTGTCTCTAAATTCAAGCATCGTACTAATCAAAGTTTAAGAAATGGTCTCAAACTGTGTTTGTGGAGCTGGATTTTTAAGCTCGGTTAATTATTTAGTTTTAAAGGAGAGTAATAAAGACAGTTGTGTTAAGTAGACTGGTATGGGTATCCCAGCAGTGGATGTGCGCTTTGTTGAGAAAATGTGCATTTTGTCACATCTTTTAGAAGAATTTCTACAAATCCAGTTATTCAGTGTTTGATGCCTTCTTTTCCCAGCATGCACAGATGGCACAGCTGTCGCTCTGCATGGGTAATATTTGAGTATGCTAATGTTTTAATTCATGATGTTTGGACTAAAACAGGCATTTACGCTTGTGAGAAATGTTCAAATACAATATTGTGTGTATATCATGGCTTCAAAAACCCAAAAAATGACTCCATGAGTGGTTTGTGTGTCTGATTTTGAGCTTTCTCATATCAGAGGTAAAGATGTATGCAGCATAAATCAGTGTTTAAAAATTGCTTTATAACCTTGTTTTATCGGTCCAGTTTTGCCCTTTCACTTTGTGCTTAATGTAAGCTGTCTTTAAAGAGAAGAGGATGGGTTCAATTCTTTCGTTTCAACGGTTTTGGTGTCCAAAAACAAATTATTTTTTTAAACATGGCATTTTCCTTTTACAAGATATGTTTGCATTGTAGGCAGTGAAAAGAGGCATTCATATATTGAGTGGCCTTTTTAAATTTTTGGTATTTTGAATATGCTGTCATTGTCAAAACATTAAAAAAAAAAACTTTTATGGAGACTGAAGAAGTAATTTGACCCAGTGATCAAAATACATGCACATGAACAGAATCTGCATTCTTGGACTTGGTGGTATAATCTACCCTGACTTTAGAGTATTACAGCAGTAACCTCCTCCTGATTAGAGATTTAAAAATGATCTCTTTTTTTTTTGTCTTTTAATTTAAAGCCCGCTTGGTGGCATTTTTAACTCAAACACCTTTTGTTCTCTTCTTTGGATGATGCTTCCCTTAGCTTTCCCTTTACTGCTCTGACTCTCCTTGCTAGATGTACTCTGGATTATACGAGTATCTGTCTCTGTGTCTTGTATTTATTCGTGGATTCCTTTATATAAACTCTGTGTTCTGTCTCTGGGCTATTTTTGCAGCTGCGTTTCTCCACTGCTTCACTGAACAATGCCAATACTCCGCTGAGCTGTTTGTTATCTGTATATTTTATTCATGAGACAATAACAGACATTTGTACATCTCCTCCTTGGCTACACCCACGCAGCAGGGAATTCTCTCTCACTCCGTTTTGGCATCTTCTTCCTTTTTCAGCCCCGCCCTCCAACTCGCTCCCCCCACTGCACCCCCTCCTCAGCATCCTGGCGCATTCATCTTCCACTTAAACCATTAGCTGCCCCACCATGACTCCATGCCATCAGCTGTCCTTCCCTCAGGAGCAGGGAGGCCCCAGGCCCAAATCTTACAACTGAGCCCCGATTTCAGGCAAATCTTTTCCCTGTCACCTCCACTCTCTGCACCCTGCTTTGAATCCCCCATTTGTCCTACTTTTCATCTCCTAAACCCGTTGTGTTTAATTTTTTTTTAAACAAGGAACGGACCCCTTGACTCAGAAAAGGCCAGACTGAGAATCTTGTCAGCTGCCTGACCTCATAATCAGGCCGTCTGTTAACATGTGGGAGGCAGTAGATGTTAGCTTGGTTTCGCATGAGGACCCGGGGTGAGGTGGGGTGGAGTGTGGGGTAGCGCTCTCTCCTGAGATTAATCTGCCTCACAGCACCTCAAAAGCTCACTAATTAACACCTTGTCTTATTTGTTTAATCTCCACAAAGAAAGCAGTAAACCTTTTTGTGGTCATTAACTGTAGTCACATTTCTGTTTGCTGCTATTCGAAGAAGTTAACTTCCTCTATAGCAACTGATTCAGAAACCTTTTCATTTATAGAGGAAACCAGCTTCATCAGAATTTTACTCTTGATGTACTCACCATCATTTTGATAAAAACAGGCATTCCTAACCTCGTAGTATTTTAACATGCAGCCTTGATTTGAAATGCATATGTTACCTTGTGTGATTTGTAATCTTCATGCACCAGCAAATACCTCTCCAGCTCTGTACTGTACTATAACAGCTCAATGGGCAAACAGAGCTGGTACTGACTGATGTTTAAAATGCTGACTGGCCTGCTCATCGTTGGAGTAAGCAGCTTCATTTTCATTTGTGCTGACTGCTCAATATCTTTCTGCTTTTGTAGTTTTTTTTAATGATATTTTAGTTTATTAATCCCCAAAGCAGCACTGAACACTCAGTAAAATAAAATGGATCATAATGACAAAATGTATAGTAGGTAAAAATGTATTCAATGCTTGAATAAATGCAATTAAGTTAATCAGTGTTTCTTAATGAGACTGTTTTTAAAATGTTTTCTAATGGCATTTATTGAAGTTATTAACAGTAACTTTGCTTGATGTTACTGGCAAGTTGAAACTTTGTACAATAAACTACCAAGCTAATGGTACAATAACAAAAGCTGGCTATAGGCCAGTAAATGGTGGGAGGGCTTTTGGAGGTCAGACTGCACACACACATTAAGCCCTTTAGAGCTGTTTTTCCTTACCTCTCACGTCTTTTGTGTTTTATACTTGATTAAATTTAATTCCATTATACCGGAGGGGAATAAAGGGGAAAAAAAGGTTAAATACTTCCATCACATGTTTGGTGAAAGGCAAAAACTTCTTTGGTGGGCCTCAAAATGTTTTATATGCAGGGAAGTTCTGACCGGAGGTGACTTTTCACTGTGTAGGTACTTTTATAATCCAATATCTGCAGCCGTTGTGACAGATCATAAGACCACCTCAGGAAATGTTATTGGTAGGCTCAACTTGGGTTGTACATTGTTAGAAACCCCTTGTACTTGTATCTTTTCATGGGATGTAAGCTGTTTTTTTTTTTCTGTTTCAAATCCTGTTTCCCCTTTATTTTAAGTAACATCTCTGCATGGCAAAAATAAAAAAAAATTAAATTAAAAAACCAAAGAAACCAAACCCATAACATGAAAATATTATGGGTTTGGGAAAAAAATACATGAAAATAGGAGTTAACTGAGGGCTGTAAAACTAGTAAATCTACTCAAAATTTTAAAAAGGGTTTTTACACCTGAATATGATCACGGTGGTTTAAAAAAACAAACAAACAAAAAAAAAAACGGCACTCTGAGGAACGTCTCAGATCTTTCTCTGACACCTTTTCTGCTGTGCTCGTAAGAAATCTCTCTTGATTTGCAACTATAATACCCTTTCATGCGAGTACAGCAAATCATGCTTCTGTGTGTGCTCAGGTACGCCACCAGGAGGTCAGGGTAATTTAAACAACTGAAGTGTGAGCTTTCTCATTGCTTTCCTCACAAATAGCACATGGACAGAGTCTTCACATTATTAGCGGCCTTTGATATTTAAAAAAAAATCTTCACTGAAAGAATGGAGGCTATTAATCAGTGCCAGTCTGAATCATCAGTCTTTCAGTGTAGAGTTACAGGTTAATGGATAGCTGTGCTTTAGCCTCTGCTCCTGAGTACTGTTATATGTGTGAGTGTGAAATGTGTACATCCAACAAAAGAGGGAGAGAGAACCACTGAATTCATCCAGGACAACCTCCCCCAGCCATCTGTAGCTTCCTCGTGGGAAGAGGGCAAAGGAAACTACGAGGATGGGGGAGGTGATGGGATGGGTCTCCCATCACCGTCTGCCCCAAAATTCCCCCACCCCAGGAGAGGAACCAAGAAGGGTTTATCCCTCCGTGACAAACCGTCTGTCTGCTTTAAAGCTAGAGACGCAGCAGCTTTTAGGCTAGAAAATTAGACTTTTCTATACTGTGCTCCGTCTGCAGCACTCACACTCGGCATAGTAATGTGTTAGCTTTTTTCTGGCCAAGCTGTGACCCTGATGAGCAGCTCTAAGGTGCCACAAGCTCTAAAATGCATTCAGTATGTGCTTCCTTTGACTTCTGCCATCAGTGCGTCTTATTGTTGTAACTGTAATTTCAACAACACAGAGCTACAGATGATGCAACGTTTGGGTGTGTGATGAAATGAAGTGTATCAGCGATATACAAACTTAATGTTGACAAAGGGATTTGCTTTGTCCATCAGGTGTGGGACTATGAAACAGGAGACTTTGAACGCACGCTGAAGGGCCACACAGATTCAGTGCAGGACATCTCCTTTGACCACACAGGCAAACTGCTCGCGTCCTGCTCCGCAGACATGACCATCAAGCTGTGGGACTTCCAAGGCTTTGAGTGCATCAGGACCATGCATGGTAAGAAGATGAAGCTGTCGGTTTCTTTTCTCTAGTGGATCTTAATCACAGCTGCTGCCGTTTTATATCCCCTTTGTTATGGTTTCCGCACCGTGTGGTTCCAGTGCTCAGGTGCTACACATGCTGCTTGTTATCACATTTGATGTGCATCAACTGGCACCAACCCAAGCCGGGGAGTACATCTAGCTCTGGATTCAGCTCTTCTTAACTTAAAAAATCATTTTAAATGTGTCCTCTGGCCCTGCTCGTTAATGGACCACCTTACCAATGCTTTTCATCTTCAAACCTTGAATCTGAAGTGGCCACTGATGGCTGTCTGTGAAGTAGACATAAAAGAATATTTATTTTTGATGGGGGTGTAAGCCCTTCCTGGTGAGCAGACTAAACCCACTCAAGCATTCTTAAATTTATGCTGGAGTTGCAAATCCTGCGTTTTTGTGCAAGTGAGCAACAGATTTCACCGGTTGCCGGTCTTCTTTTTGGTTTAAATGAGAGTGAGCTGCTAGCACGCATATATAAACAGACGAGCTGGGTTTGCTGCGCAGAACTCATCAACGGAAATGGCTTTATTAATCTGAGCCTGCTGTTTACTTCTGTTAGCCACCATTTTCCCACCTCCTTCTTTTTTACTACCATCTCTGTCCTCTTTTAATTCACTCAACCTTTCCTCCTTTTTAATCCACTCCTCCTATTTTAAATATCTTGGTGGAAACGCACACACGCACACACACACACGCACAAGCACAAAGAGAGGGGGAGAGAGAGGCCAACTGGTGAAGTAGATTAGTGCCGATTTGGACAGAAGCTTAATTACCCTCTTCAGCGCTAGATAGCACTTTTCTGTGTAGCTGCCACCCATTATTGTAGCCTGGTGGCATGTGCAAGTATACACACACACACACACACACACACACAGGCCTTTTAGAGTATGCTTACTGTTGTCTTCATCTATTTAGCAGCTTAAATATGGCCCAGTCTTTAGGTAATTACGCGTCTCTTATTCTCTGTCTAACAAAAATGAGTGCTAAAGCTCCAGCATGTTGGCTTTCTTGCTTGTCAGCTTCTTCCTTTTTTTTTGGTGAATTATAACAGTGTTTGGGCTTTTTTTGGTGCTAAGCATGTGTTTTTAAATAAATAAATACATTTATGTTTCTAAATTTTCATTCTGGTGGTCAGATTGCAAGCAGAAAGACTAAAAGGATCATGTGTTGCAGTCTGAAATCATTAAATTACATTTCACAGCAGACTTAGATGTTATGTGGGCTTGTGCTGTTGGGTCTGTTTTCAGAGGTTCTGGGTCTCGCTGAATCTTTGTTTTTGTGTTTGTTTTTCTGTGTTCCAGGACACGACCACAATGTTTCGTCTGTAGCCATCATGCCCAACGGAGATCACATTATTTCTGCCTCCAGGGATAAAACCATAAAAATGTGGGAGGTGGCAACTGGGTATGCAAAAGACACCTTTAAGCTGTTCTTTAAACCATTGTGTGTTATTTATTTTTACTTAAGCTTGATGTTGGGTTTTAACTATTTGCAGCCACGCTGATAGCTTTCTAACTGCTCTCATGTTTTTTTGTTCATCAGCTACTGCGTGAAGACCTTCACAGGCCACAGGGAGTGGGTCCGTATGGTACGACCCAACCAGGATGGCACGCTGATCGCCAGCTGCTCCAACGACCAAACAGTCCGCGTGTGGGTGGTGGCCTCCAAAGAATGCAAGGCTGAGCTGCGGGAGCACGAACATGTGGTGGAGTGCATCTCCTGGGCACCGGAGAGTGCCTACTCCACCATCCTTGACGCCACAGGCTCGGAGGTAAAAGATCTGCTTGGATACATCTCATTTCTCCCAAACTCCTCAAGGTCCACACAGGTTTTGGTGTATGTGTTGGTTTGTTCTCATCAAATGTGCAGTTTCGCCTTGTATGAGTACAGTCACTGTTTGAGAACCCAGAAATCTTTCCTTCTAGCAGCCAGTGAGAGAAGTAAACATTTGTGGGAGGTGGCTGGAATCAAGACACAGTGATATCTCATCATGGATTGCTTTCCTTTATTTATTTTTTTGTTCATCCTATCTTTACATAAAATGGAAGTTGACTCTAACACCTGTATCCGGCCACAAAAAGCAGCCGTAAGCTTTTCCTCCATTTCTGATCGTTGGTCATGCCAGCAGAGTCGACAGTCGTAGTCGAGAGTCTGAAGCCCAGTGTGAATTTTTTCTTGAATTTTAAGTATTTTTTAACTCTCACTAATGCAAATTTGCCTCAGTTCACCTCTTTGCATAGATTCTGTGAGACAATATCACTTCTTGTTTGGTGTGAACACACCGTAGGGTTTATATTACCTGAATTTGCAGTTCAATATGTTTTTTCCCTCTTTTCCTGATTTTAAACCCGAGGTCAGATCGTATTATATTTGGAGGCATTAGTTTGGTACAACTGTATTTAAAAGAAAAAGAAAAAGGAAAAACTCAGTACTGCCTTACTGTTTCCATTAGAATTAAGAGGGTAAACAGCCAGGTGCTGAACTGTCAGCGCTTGATTTACTATTATCTACACCTTATCAATGAAACACAGCATATCAGAACAAATACCTGACACCAACTGTGAAGCACGGTGGTGGAGGGGTGGTGATTTGAGGTTGTTTTGCAGCTACTTGTTATACAGACAACCTCTGTATACCAAAGTATACCAGAGTCAGATGTGAAGCAATCTGAATGACAGATAAAGGCTTGGCTAAAACCAGGTCATGCAACAGGACAAAGGGCCCAAGGTTGGATGGTTGCAAAAGAAAATAATCAAGGCGTTGCAATGATTAAAGTCCAGACCGGATTGAAGTGCTGCGCATAAACCGATGAGCAAACCTTAATGAACTGAAGCAACATTGTAAAGAAGAGAAGACCAGATTTCCTCCATGGCAATTTGTGAGACTGATAAAGTCAAACAGAAAACGATTACTTCAAGTTATTTCTGCTCCGGGTGGATCTAAAAGCTGTTGAATCATAACGTGAACCTAATCGTTAACAGGATTGTATACAAACTGTGAGATCAGTTTATGTGTGATAAGTAACCATCACTAGTGAAAAATATTTGTAGCTTCAAACATATCCAAACCAAATAAGACTTTGACTGATGATGGCGAGGAGATTGAGCCACGAGGCGGCCATCGCTATACAGCCATGTGCTGCCAGTCACACACACAGAATCAGCCCATCCTCCTGCCTCATGATCTTCAGTGTGTCTGATTGTAGCCTCGCAAATCTAAACACACATGCTCCCTCGCAGCAGTCATCCCAATCTAACCTGTGTTCACAAAAGCTGACTTTTAGTACTCTTTAAATAGTTGCTTTTTTGTTTGTTTTGTTTTTTTTTTAAATAAGCCAACGTAGTTGTTGGAATTGGGTGAATATGCGGCCTGAGAGACAGCTTTTGTTATACAGATGTTTGCACATGTGCTCTCAGACTAGTTGCCAGCAACGTATAACACAAACGCTCAGAGGTGTTTAATTTAGGCTGCTCTCTGTGTTCTGGTACAGTGGGTACAGTATGGTACTCCGCATAAAGTACAAATAATGAATTATACACACAGCTAATATTTCAATCCCCTCCCCTTCTGCCCGACCAGTCCAAGAAGAGTGGGAAGCCCGGCCCCTTCCTGCTCTCCGGCTCCAGAGACAAAACCATCAAGATGTGGGATGTCAGCACTGGCATGTGCCTTATGACGCTGGTGAGGAACATTTTTGAAGTTTTTGTGTGTGCCACATCCATATTTTTGGGGGAAAATGCTTTAAGTGAAGATATATTTCTTCAGGAATCAGATGAGATGTGTGTTGCTGTATCTCATGCAGGTTGGCCATGACAACTGGGTGCGTGGGATCCTCTTCCACCCCGGAGGCAAGTTCATTGTGACCTGTGCAGATGACAAGACCTTAAGGATCTGGGACTACAAGAACAAGCGATGCATGAAAACCCTGAGTGCCCACGAACACTTTGTTACCTCTCTGGGTAAGCGCGCC